ATTGATTTGAATATGTTCGCAATCGCAAAGGGACATCTAACGGTATTTTTAAACAGTTATTAGTTATAAACAGTACAATGTGCGTTATTAAAACCTCGCGCTATGTATAATTTCAAATTTGAGGGAATAACAATATACAGATTGAAGACTACATAGGCATTTTTATTATGAATACCGTATTTATTTAAAAACAATACAGTTATGTGATAAATTAAAAGCTTGTCAGTTTAAAATCGTAATGTATTAATTCTAAACTGGAATAAAGATGTAAGCACAGTTATTGTTATGATCGATCACGCGTTGCTAATCTTGCTATTACATCTATTCGACTTGTATGTTTTACAACAGTAAAATTTAATCATATCGCCTATAAACTTAACTAAAATCTAATTAAAGCCTTGATAAAAATATTTCCCATTCGTAAAATATGAAAAAAATCAGGTTTGTTGGAACACTTATAAGTCGAGAATGGCTGGACCGATTTTCAGAATTATTGTTAAAAACACGAAAAGAAAAAAAAATCTAATACAAAATTTTTATGGGATTCATAACTGTCATGTTTGCTGGGTCATCTCTTATAGGGTTATACGAATCATCTCATTTCATCACAAATAAACACAATTTGGCAAATACCAATATACAAACGGGTCAAAAAGTCAAGTCAGCCAAGGTGGGTTTCTTTAGACTGTCCACAAAATTAGTTTTTAAACTAATTGATATTATAATTTTGATCCTGGAGTAAGTTATTCCTACAGACAAAACTATATGTAAATTTAGTAAAATTTTTTATTATAATAAAATAACTATAAAATCAATTCTTTTTATTATAAATAACTAGATTTGTGCTCTTGTTTATTTCAGTCTGAAGTGAAAATCAAGTATGTGTCTATTTATTATGTCGAAACGAGCCCGTATTTGTATGGAAAAATGTCAAAAATGAGCAATGTCCTTAACATTATCAAAAATGAATTTTATTTATGATGTATGAGTGACAGGCAATACGGGTCATTTAAATATTAGTTGTAAACAGTATCTATTTAGGAGAAGTTTTAATACCTAAATAACAATTTGAAAAACTTTGCCAGTTAAAATTCAATGATCTGAAGTCTACACTAAAATTAGAAGCTTCTAAAATTATAAGGGCCCAATTAGAATCTAATCAGGCATTTGAAATCCGGCTGCAATAACACAAAACAATTAAACGTTTTGTTGTCGACGATAATTTATAGAAACACGACTGTCGCTTAATGTCGAGGATGCAACCTTTACGATAAGATTAATAAAACTTAATAATTGTACACCCCTTGCAATGCCACAAGCCTACGATCTAAGATTTTAGTGGATTTAGTGTTATCAAAGCTCTGTTTATTAATTTGTACGTTGATAATATTAAACTATAGAATTATTAGCTTTTAACTATATTAGCCATTTAAATATACAATCTGTCACTGTTATGTCTAAAGTATCTACTTGAGTTCTTTATTTCTGAAGATGACCTTTGGGTTTCTTTTTTTTCCCCTTTTTTTTGGGGGTTTTGGTTTTGGTTTTTTTTTTTTTTTTTCCTTTTTTTTCATCTGGGTGAGCCATTTCGTCTAGCCAGACCTCCAATCTTCCGCCTGCTTGACTCACTGCTGACGCAGGTATCACGCTTCTACAGGACTTACCGAGGTGTAGGTGGGAGTGGAAAACTTAGCTTAACTTAACATAGCCTTTCCCTCACCAATGGTGAGGAGAGGCTATTTGACGGAGATGTTAAATTTCATGTATTCTTCTTGACTCACCCTTAAGTCTGAACTATATTTATAAAAATGAAGTAAATACAGAACCAAACAATTTTTTTAATGCTAACTGTTTATCGCACAAGGTGGAGGCTCTGGAAATAAAACATTATATAAGCGCTATGGGCAAATCATCTTCTTGTTTTAAAATAATATAAGCGATATCTATCACTTTAATTTCTCTGTGTCATCTTTATAACTGTATAAACTAAACTAAGTATCTCGAAACTAAAAGTCCTTAATTCTAGGATTCGTCTTGGCTTCACTCTTCACTTATATGATTGAAAGTTTTGTTCGATTATTGACAACTTTTGACGTGTATTTGTTATTTAATTGTCTTTAAATCTGCTAAAAAATTTATTGTGTCAGCTCGGGGGCAAATAGAAAACATATCAATACAGCATTAATTTCATTTTACTTTAACTAGCATTTTTAATTATAGCAACACCTTACAATGCGAAGTAGTTAGTTAACTATTGATACAAGCATACATTTATAGTTTCTATAGCTGTCTGTTATACTAAAATCTACTTCTAATTTCAAAGAAAAAAATTTAGCGTCTACTACTAGATATATGCCTCTTAATTTAAAGTTATTATTATTTATTTTTTTAATTCACAATTTATGAAAAAACTAACATTTGTTTGCTTTATACATATTATCTAAACCACTAAATTCTAACGTAATCCACGTACAAAATCTAGTTTATATTCCCCATGAAGTTATTAACGCGTTGGTCGTTTTTGTCAATTTAATCTTGAGATTTATGAATTTGCATAGAACTCTAGCAGTGTAACAATAGCCTTTTCCTAATATTATAGAAGCCACTAAAATGCTGTGTACAGATGTAATTGGACTTCAGGTTTATAAATGTTATTTTGTGTGTAATAACTGTATGTATTTAATCAATCTGTTTTCTGTTTCTGTACCAAAAATTTAAAAGTAAAAAAAAAGTTAAATTATGATACAACTTCTATAACAAAGAGCTTAATATTATTTAAATTGCAATAAGTTATAATTTCGATAGGGTACGAAAGGAATTTAACGAATACTTCAAGATGCACAAATTTATATAAATAAGGATAATTATTTAAATCAGTAGAAGGGAGGATTTTTGTACGAACTTCGAAATATAAGTCTTCACAATCATAAAGAACTTTTAATATGTAAGTACTTCAGTAGTTTTTAGTAGTTAGTAGTTCTTAGATGTCTATACCAATATTTGAGAGGAAAGATTTGTATGTTTGTTACGAGTAAACTGTATGAGTTTACTACTGGACCGCAAATAAAAAAAATTACCGTTAAAATAAATTTTGACTTCCGTAGGTAGTGAAGTAAAGTAGTATTTCCAAAATATTTTAAAATTACTAACTCGGCCGTGCAAGGCGAGGTCGCCTGTAATTATTTACGTCACAACTATCAGAAATATTTAATAATTCCAAAGGTACATATAGGAGAAGGTACATACATACAATGTACCTAGCAGATAGGTCCTTTCACTATTTAAAGCGATGGATTTATCAGCTCTTATTTAAACCAGTTTTTTCAATTCTTTTGGCCTGACTTGGACCTCAATATACATTGTGGGTTAATGACCTGAACTTGAAAACCCGCCCAGCGATTGTATGCAAATTGTATACTTTCTTATTGTTAATTGTTACAAATGTGACACATGCGGTTAAATGCGTCATATTTGTTTTTAAAGAAGGGTTTGGAGTAATCGTATCTAAGTTTTGTAGTTGGCCGGTTAAATCTTATCAATTGTTATTTCCGTTTCTCAAAAACGTAAGCGTCATGTGTCAGAATTTAGAACTTTTAAAGTCTTTGTGGTTAACAAAAGAATAATAGCTAAAAGCTGATTCAATTGTTATTATAAAGTATTGCAAGTTGTTTTAGACTTTTCTTTTAAATCTTATATCATCGTAACACGTTATATAAAGATTCTATATGAAGAATTATAACATAAAGTTACACTGTATTTTTTATTAATACCTAATGCATTATACCACCATTGTGTGAAATAGATTACTTGAAATTTATTTTGTTATAAAAATATGGTTTATATTTTAGCTTTAAAATAACAAAACACCTATGAAAAATAGGATGTGTCGTCAATGAGATTTGGAAAATGAAGCTTAGAATTTCTTTCGTCGTTTTAAAATTTCACTTTGATATCATTTGATTACACATTTAATTCTCGTAATGAAACTTACTAATGATTGATCAAATAAATTTTCAAGAAATGTAAAGATTAGAAATGACTAAGTACATATTTTTTATATACCATTAATTATTTGGTTTGAATTCTGACTATGTTTATTTTTTGTACTAGGTAAAAAAAAGAAATTTACTTTAAATTTAACGGCTAAAAGTCTAAAACTAAAATTTTATAGTGTTCAAGTGAGTAGATAAAAATAAGCAATGCCTAATGATAATCTAGCAAAAACTTGGAATTACAATCATCATTTAATCTGATAACATATCTTTTACTAATAAAAACACTTCATAACGTAAACTGTGATTAATTTAATAATATTAACAGAGCCAATAGCAGTCATTGAAAGTGATAGGTCGTTTATTTAAATAACTAATTAGATATTTTGTATCAACCGCAGTAGACCAAATTAGATAATAACAATCAAATTAAAATAAAGTGGTTTATATTAAGTCTCGTTTGGGAAAGGTGAACGTGAGTAATCAATTTAAATATTTATCTTTATACTTAAAATACATTTGTATAAATTCTATATGATCATTCATAATAATTAAATTGTCTTGGCTATTATTTAAGCGTATGGATTGATAAGTCGTAATAAATTTCTTTGGACATTTTTATTTTAAGGGCGCTAATGCAAGACAATTATTTAACTAAGATACGTTACGAACATAGTCCACTAATGTCTATATGAAACTTAAAGATAACGTGCTCTAAATTAGTCATAACGGGTTCGGCCCATTAGTCGCACAAAACAGATCATTTGGGAGACAATAAAGTGATCTGTCACCTTGACCGACCCAATGACCGGCATAGGTAACTGTGCTAACGATTTTTATTACGTTCAACACCACTACAACATTCCATACGGGCTCCTAAACGGTTGGCCTACTCTACCCCTCATATAAATAAGATTACAACGAGATGAGAGATCAGTGCACCTCCAACGCTCCGATGAAACTCGCGGGGCTTAAGTTTTGATACTGTTTATTTTTATAGGAATCGGGATGAGTCAACAGGCGCTGGGTTTGGCTTTATTGAGCCTTTTTGCGATCGCGCAGTGCGGACCTCCAGGCAAACCGACGCTAGGATGGGGTGAACGGACCTTTGCTATCGTCGAAGTCAACCAAGCAGCTACAGCTTATAACCAGCTTGTAACAAGGAAAGATGCAGCTGACGTCACAGTTACATGGAATGTATGGTCTGGAGATCCAGCAGATTCAGCTAAGGTTTTATTGGATGGAAAAGAATACTGGTCTGGGGATTCCAGGGCTGCTGGTACAGCTACTTTTAAAATTAAGAAAGGTGGTCGCTATATGATGGAAGTCCAGCTTTGTAATAAAGACGGCTGCAGTTCCAGTGATCCGACAGAAATTGTTGTTGCCGACACAGATGGTAGCCATTTACCACCCCTAGATTACACTCTGGATGAAAAACATAAGCCATTTAAACAGACTTCAGGAAAGGTTGTTGGTGCTTACTTTGTTGAATGGGGAGTTTATCCAAGAAAGTATCCCGTGGACCGTATACCAATCCCGAATTTAACTCATCTTTTGTACGGTTTTATCCCGATTTGTGGTGGAGATGGAATCAACGACAGTTTGAAGGAAATTGAGGGAAGTTTCCAAGCGTTACAGCGATCTTGCAGTGGCCGAGAAGACTTTAAAGTATCCATTCACGACCCCTGGGCTGCGTTACAAAAACCACAAAAGGGACTTTCTTCATGGAATGAACCATACAAAGGCAACTTTGGCCAACTGATGTCTTTAAAACAAGCGAGACCAGATCTTAAGATTCTTCCTTCTATTGGTGGTTGGACCCTCGCTGATCCATTCTTCTTCTTCGATGACAAGGTAAAGAGAGCGCGTTTCATTGACTCAGTAAAAGACTTCCTTCAAACCTGGAAATTTTTCGATGGAGTAGACATAGACTGGGAATTCCCTGGAGGTAAGGGCGCAAACCCGACACTTGGTGGTCCTAAGGATGGTGAAGTCTATGTTATATTAATGAAGGAGCTAAGAGAAATGCTTAACGAATTATCCGCTGAAATGGGCAAGAAATACGAATTGACATCAGCTATAAGTGCTGGATGGGACAAAATCCAAGTTGTAGACTACAAAGCTGCGCAGACCTACATGGATCATATTTTTGTTATGAGCTATGACTTTAAGGGTGCATGGTCCAATGATACTTTAGGTCATCAAACCTCACTGTACGCTCCCGAGTGGAACTCAAAGGAAACTTATACCACTGACTTCGGTGTTCAGTACCTATTGGCTCAAGGCGTGAACCCGAAGAAAATTGTCGTAGGTGTTGCAATGTATGGACGTGGGTGGACTGGAGTACATAATTATACAGAAGGTAATCCATTCACGGGGATCGCAACAGGACCTTGCAAGGGTACATGGCAGGACGGTGTGGTCGATTATAGGGAAATTGCAAATGAAATTGCTCAAAACAAATGGGAGTTCCACTACGATAACGTCGCTCAAGCTCCTTATGTGTTCAGACCATCTACAGGGGAACTTGTTACATACGACAACGCGAGATCTGTTACCGAGAAAGGTAAATACGTAAGAAAGAATTACCTAGGTGGTTTGTTCGCGTGGGAAATAGACGCAGATAACGGTGACATATTGAACGCAATGAACATGGCTTTAGGTAACAGTCCTGCGTAAATCGTATTATTGTGATAAATGTAAGTTTAGTATTATGTTACTATTAAGGTCTCAAGTAGATTGTATTGATAAATTAAAATACAGACTGATTTAAACTAATGCCTTTGTTTTTATTTCTTACATAAACAAAATACCTTTAATGTTGTAAAGATATAATGCCTAACGATTTTATTCTATAACATATTTGTTTGTTAATTTAGTTTATGAGGGAAGAGGTTTTCACTATACATTACAGAGTTTAAAGAAATCGATTTCGCTTGTTAATAATTAAGTTCGTTATAGAACACACCCAAAATAGAGCAGCGCAGATATTGCTCTAGAAACTGTTTTGTATGCTTAATTAAATCTATAAAAATACTTTTACTAGAATTAAGCACATAAAACGGGTCTAGGCATTTTAAATGTAGAATTTATGTAAAAGATAACGCCTAATGGTTTATTCAGAGCAAAAATAAATCGAGATGAGTGGTTTTTAAAAGGCAATATTGTTGTTGTAAAACTGCTATCTGATTAACAAATAGTATAATATTTTTTTAAAAGTTCAAACAGTCTAACTCCACGACTTAAACTCTGAGTTCAAATTTGGAATACACAGATTTTTACTTATTATTGTAAATCTAAAGAATATTAAAAAATGTTTTATCCATCTTTAACAGGACTAAATTGTAATCGAATAAATGCCTCGTTTAGGATTGCTGCCAGAATAATAAAATAATGGTTTAATTATATTATTCTCTTCTATAATTGTTGATTAAATAAAGGTATCAAATAAATTCTAAAGTAAAGTTTAAACAAATATCAACATTAGAAAGTTCTAAGTAGATTATGTATGAGCTTAAGAGAAAACTTACTTGCAAAGCTACAATTTCTAAGATATTTTAATGGCATGTTCCTTTCAACATAATTGATGCGCCTGAATGTAAATGAGTATTTTTTAAATATCTTCAAAAACCCGAAGGAATTGCCTGTTTTGAATTGGATGTTAATAATTTGGCCCAGCTACGCAAAATGGTCAAAGATTTTTTAAGTCAATCATGTAAGTATAAATTTAATACTTTTGTTTTAAAAGAGAGTGTAGGGAAAAAATAATTACATTTTATCAAGTTTAGAGTACAATTAAGATTAACCTAAGGTAAAGGTAAATTATTTTATTATTATTGAAATAATCCAGGAATAAAGGGTATATATTCCTTTAATAATAAAGGAATCATAATATAATAAATAAATTAAAATAAGATATTTTATTCTTCTAGGCAGAGAATTGAACTTATTCTAAGTTAAAATTCAATGGTACATACTCAATTTGCATCAGTTTCATACTATTTAATTCAGGATGTGATTTTTCTATACCTATTAATACAAAACAATTAGTTTCTCCCAGTAGACGAACTCAGGACTTTCGGGTTTCGACTTTAACCATGAAGACGTAGCATAATAATTGTAAATATCTAGATCATAGATAGATATGTAAAATAGCTTGTATATAAAAAGTTTTATTATTCTTATTAAATTTAAATAAACTTGAAAACACGGTAAGGATAATTAAAATGTTTTTAGGTAAGAACTCGGTCGTTAAGAAATCGATTTAGAAAATTCTTTTCGAACTGATTGGCCCGTTTCATAAGTTTATATTTTTATATCGGATCTAAGAAGAATTTTCCTTATTCATAATTAAAAAATTGCTTAACTGAAATAGCGACAAAAACTTTCGAGTGATATTTTCGACAAAAATATATATTCGACATAATAGATCTTAGAAGACATTTATTCATAATTAACATAGTTTAAATTAATCTGTATGTAATGTAATAAAAGATAAATACAATAAATTTTACTGCGAATGGAGTTCCAGTGTATAACATAGTTATGTTACGGGTATGGACACATTAGGTACATTAGGTACATATAAAAAGGTTTCTTCAAAAACAGAACGTAATTATCGATGTCATTGACGCTTGCGAGTTATTTGTATCTCTTTTGGATATCAATATAAAACTTAGTCCCTCAAATACTTAATTAGAGTAGCTTTAGCATGATGTGCATATAAAACAATTGACGAATGAAACTAAGAATTTTTAAAAAGACCTTTTTAAGATCAAAAAAAGTCATTGGCCAGGTTAAACTTTGTTTCAATTTATTTATATTCGGAATTGCGTGTGTTATCAGACGTTTATCTGCGTAACGGAACTTTTAAGTGCTCGTTTGCGAAGTATCGTGTTCTCGATTTATTTATATTTCTTTTAAGCGATTGAGTTTATGTACTTAAGATAAAGTGAGGTCCAATATAAACAAGTATATCTAGATGAAGAAACGTATTTTTGTTACTCATGTCCAAGTTTATTACTTTAAATTAAAAATTGTGGCGTTTTAGGTCTATAACGTTCAAATAATAACCATTTAGTGTATTGTCAGCAGTGGCGTAACTATACCATCTGGGGCCCGTGGAAAATTGTTTTGATGGGGCTCTATCAGTAAAAATCGTCACGTTGTACTCAGTTTAATTTGAATAAACTTCGAGATCTTCAGCGTAATCAATTACACGTTGTAATTGTCCCACTAATGGCCATAGGCCTTTCTTAGGCGAGAGGGAATGGTCTGTAGTCCCCACGCCAGCCCAATGCGTATTGGAGACTTCACATTCATCCATAGAACATAATATCTCTTGGGCAGGGGCCCTCTTAGGTTGGGGACCCGTGGCATTTTGTCAGCCCTGCCACCCTATTGTTACGCCACTGATTGTCAGTTGACCTTCAAAAATTTAAAATACAGGGGTGCTACAACTTTTTAAGCCTGGGTTTCTGTATCTGGTATCTGTAATAGTGTCAATTAGCCTGTGCCTGCGACACGCAGTCGAATATAGCATCTATAGCATGCCAGTTTCTGTACGATGTTTTCTTTCACCGTCATTGAGATAATAGATTCGATCTCAGCTCATGGCGTGTTCTTAAACATGACTATCAACTCTAATACGTGACGTTATAGTCTTGTTTGGTCTACGAATCTTTACAGTATGTCTAGCGTAGGTCTAACGATTCAGACAAAACACCTATATGTTCTAAAAGTTAATTTTATTCCAAAAATGTTATTTGGGGTAGGTAACATCTATGTCCCTTTTAATAAAACACTATTTTGACCGGATTGAAGTTTTGTATTATTATAAATTTACAACTATTTAACATAATTTTAAATTTATCCGTCGTTTCGCGTGCTTTACAGCGTGCGTGGTCACGGTGACTGAAGACAAAAGATGTTGAATGTCAAAACGTATCACAGCTGCAGAGAAAGTTGCATTATCTGTATTTATTTCCCCGGAGTTGGTATCGACTAAAAGATGGAGGGTTTTGGCAAAAATGGCTTACGGTGTCCTCTATTTTCGCGGATTGTGTTTCTTTTTGAGATTTTAATTTGGATATTATTGGATCCCAGGTGTTTGACAATTTTAGGCCGTCTTCTCTATTGAAATTGGGGTGTTTTTTGATTTCAATGGCTTCGCGTACCAATCTTGGGAAGAATCTTTTCTCTTTCGCAAGTACTTTCGGTTGGTCAAAGCGTATGTAGTGATTAGGCCTATCTAGTATGTGTTCACAGACTGCTGATTTTGTGTGTCGTCTATGTCTTATGTCTGCAATGTGTTCTTTGAGTCTGCTGGACATATTGCGTTTAGTTTGCCCTATGTAAGACAGGCCACAGTCGCAATCCAGTTTGTATATACCTGCATCTTGCAATGGGGTGTTACTTTTGATTGGTCTTAGGAATTGCTGAATCTTCTTGTGCGGCTTGAAAATTGTATGAATAGAAGCTCGTTTTAGGATCCGGCTAATTCTATCTGTAACTCCCTTTACATATGGCAAGTAGGCTGGCTGGCGGGGAACTGTTTGTGTCTTGTTTTTTTAGAACTAGCCGGATCCCTAAAACGAGCTTCTATTATACAATTTTCAAGCCGCACAAGAAGATTCAGCAATTCCTAAGACCAATCAAAAGTAACCCCCCCTTTTGGTTGTGGGGTTTTTACCCCTTACTTTGATTTTGCTTCTTTTTACAGAGGGGAAACCAAACACAATTTCCCCCCCACACAAAAAAAAAAATTCCCAAAAAATGTTAATAGATAGGCCTAATCACTACATGTTTGAAGCCATTGAAATCAAAAAACACCCCAATTTCAATAGAGAAGACGGCCTAAAATTGTCAAACACCCGGGGTCCAATAATATCAAATTAAAATCCAAAAAAAAAACCCCCCCCCAAAAAAAAGACACCCCCGACACCAACCTCCATCTAGTCGATACCAACCCGAAATAAATACAGATAATGCAACTTTCTCTGCAGCTGTGATACTTTTTGACATTCAACATCTTTTGTCTTCAGTCACCGTGACCACGCACGCTGTAAAGCACGCGAAACGTCGGATAAATTTAAAATTATGTTAAATAGTTGTAAATTTATAATAATACATAACTTCAATCCGATCAAAATAGTGTTTTATTAAATGAATAAAAGTTATGTTAATCAAAGACTATCTATGTCCCTACCTTGGTGTCTTGACGCTTCTCCTGCTTTAGGGTATGGCCATGGGTAGATAGTTTTATGATTTCATTTCGAATTATCAATAATAAATATAACCGGTAAATATTATCTATTTTTGTAAGTTCAATTATATAGGTACTATTAGGTTGGGGAAAAAGTCTTTTCGCATTATAGTATGTATGAACTTGTAATAAAATCTCTTTGGCTATACTATTTGTATCTGGCTGGTTTTGGTATCATTAAAAGTTTAAATTTTAAAGAAGATAATTCCAAATTCAAATTAGGAAAATGTGTGGATTTTATTTATTTTTCGTACCGTCAAGATGAGTGAATCTAATGAAGAAATTCGATAGATTTTAAAATTTTACTACAAAAAAGGTAAAAATGCAACGCAAGCCGCGAAAAAAATTTGCGATGTTTATGGGCCTAGTGCAGTATCTGTGAGAGTAGCACAAATTTGGTTAAAGCGTTTTCAATCCGGAAATTTTGATGTCAAAGATGCACGTCGCTCTGGTCGCCCTATTACGGATAAAATGGATGCCATTTTTAAAAAAGTAGAGCAAGATCGGCATATCAGTAGTTACGATGTAGCTGAAGAACTGGGAATTGACCACAAAACAGTTTTGACGCATTTGAAAAAAACTGGGTACACAAATAGCTCAATATTTGGGTACCTCACGAGCTCACTGAAAGAAACCTAATGAACCGTGTACTCATTTGTGCTTCTTTATTACGACGTAATGAAACCGAACCATTTTTGAAGAAGCTGTTAACTGGTGATGATAAGTGGATCACGTACGACAAGAACGTGCGAAAAAGGTCGTGGTCAAAGGCCGGTCAGGCTTCACAGACTGTGGCGAAACCCGGGTTAACTCGCAACAAGGTGATGCTGTGTGTGTGGTGGGATTGGAAGGGCATTATTCATTATGAGCTGTTACCACCAGGCAGGACCATCGATTCTGAACTCTACTGCGAACAACTGATGAGATTAAAGCAAGAAGTTGAGAGAAAGCGGCCGGAATTAATCAACAGAAGGGGTGTGGTTTTTCATCATGATAACGCTTGACCTCACACATCTTTAGCCACTCGGCAAAAATTAAGAGAGCTTGGGTGGGAGGTGTTAATGCATCCGCCGTATAGTCCTGATCTTGCACCTTCAGATTTCCACCTGTTTCGGTCTCTTCAGAATTCTTTCGGCAGTGTCAGGTTAACATCACGAGAGGACTACAAAAACCAATCGTCGCGGTATTTTGATCAGAAGCCCCAAAATTTCTATAGCAATGGGTCATGTCCCTACCTACAAGATGGCAAAAAGTTATCGAACAAAACGGTACCTACATACTTTAGTTAAATGTAAATAAACTATATTAAAAAATGTTGTGAATTTTCTTAAAAAATGCGAAGAAACTTTTTCCCCAACCTATTATATAGTTTAGTCACACGGACCTAAAAGCTATAAAGTAATATATAATAGTTATAAGCTAAAACTAATATAGTTTATCAGTTCTTAAAATATCAAACATTCCTTTTTTAAGTTAAAATTAAGGTCATATTATGAAAATTTTGAATACCTACATGTTATCTGTGTATACCATATACTATAAAGCTTGGCCGTATTAAGACAGGTAAGATATAGTCGTTGTTCGAACGAAACAAGAATTTATCATCTTATTGCTATGAGTTTTTTGTCTGTGACCTTGCAACTTGCTAAAATTCTACCATATTTTTCATGTTTTGTGTATATGGGCACTATCGATTACAGCGATGTTTTTACTCGACCAAATGTAAAATATTTAAATATTTTAGTAATTTTTTTGATTGAAATTGACAGAAATATACAAAATATTTTACGTAGTTACCAAGGACTCAATAAATATTAATTTATCTAACTTATGTCGGAGTATTGTTATCTATCTTTAAGGAAAATCTATTTATTTATAAAAGCTTGCGAACGATCGGCACACTGATACATTGGTAGAAGAACAATAAAATACAATGTTTAATGTGGCACTTATAGGCATACATTATATAACGAAGAGATAATAAAAACAATTAAACTATAAAAACTAAACGAAAATCGATTTTAATTGAATTAATAATAATAATAATTAATCGATTCACTGACTGAAACTAAATCTATTACATATATAATCTTAATTACGTGCACAAACGTATGTGAGACCTGTATCAAAAACAGGTAAGTCTATTAATTATCAATGCATATCTAGGGGTAAAGATTTGTTACCTGTAGGTAACAAATTTGTCAATTATATTTTTGTAGCGATTTATCTGATACATAATATAAAAACGGTTATTTGTGATAGTTAGCCGAAATTCGGTTTGGAATTTTAAAAATAAAAGTGAATATAACATTGCTTTTATGACGTACGTTTTGTCCCCTGATGTTCTGACAGCTGGTGGTCATTATTTGAGAGCCTGAAATTCTTAAACAATAACGCCAGTGACAGCTACTCTACTCGATACAAAAACGTATAAGTTCGAAACATAACATACGTCGCACTATATAATATTATAGTGTAACTATATAGATAAAGCGCATCACGTGTAATGTGATATAAACAATACAATATCGGAAACAGGTCACGACCGGCGAGTGGTGTTTAAATAGCTCATTCATACACCCAATAAACAAGCGAACATCTTATTCGCGTAATAACAAATAATAATACGTATAAAATCCGTCCTGAATACGCTTCATGATATCTTCGATGTTATAGTGAATGCCGCTGTGTGTGAAGTGATTACCTTTTTTTTTACATCTGTATGAAAACTTTTATTTTTAATTTTCTTTATTTGTTAATGCAATAATACGTAGTCAGCCTTTAGTACCTTCCAAACCGATGCACCCAGAAAGAAATTAAATTTAGGAAAATCTGAGCTACGGCGGAATTCGACGTCGGTTAAAAAGTTTCATGACTAATAGACTTAAGAATAGGGTAACTCTTGTCTTCATTTAGAGATTACTTAGCACAAGTTTAACAATAACAGCTATTACTATTAACGCGTGTTTCATGACCGCATCCGTATATTCTTTTGTTTCCCGGAGTGTGTGTGGAGACACATGACGTCATTAAATATATAGAAAACTGTCGTTGAAGGTTAATTATGTCACGTAAACATAGGTAAAATGTTATACGAATCAGAAAACCTTCACTTCTATGATATACACGTAGTTACAGTTGATACCTCACTGTCGTTTTTTATGGCTTAAAGAGTAAATGTTTGATGTATATAATAAAGCTAATTAATATATTAGATGTATATATATATAATTTTTAAATAATTCTAATATATCTCAGGATATTTTTGTGTTTATAAAATTAAACTTATAAACATAAACTAATAATAATAAAATAATGTACATTGAAATAAATAACGAAACTTAACATAAACTAAAATATATCATTAAAAGGAGTCCCTTTAGGCAAGGTTCCGAAAATACTGGCAGCGTTCCCCCTTTGAATTGCTAGACTAATTCTTTGTCCGAGGTAGCTGCCAGATCTTCGGTCTCCTGTGATGTCGACTAACCTTTTTGAAATTTCATAAAGCTAATTCGTTACGAGTTGACGGTGATAGAAAAACATTGTTTGGAAGCCCGATTAGACTTAAAGTCGAGCCATGTATGTAGCGCTATATTATACCTAAAGTAAGAGATATTTAACAAAATCTTTAAAACTCTGTAAAATATAATTTAAACACATAAATAAGATCTTTAAAACGTCAGCGTCAATTTTCAAAAACTTGTTTCCGTCCCCTCGCGAATAGCACCTAGTAGGTACCTAGGTTAATCGCTCATCGCTTCCGAAATCTGTTTTATTGGTTACAGAGACTTGCGGTTCTAAAAATTCGGTTGAATGGGTAGTTGTTGTGATTTCTTGCCAGTTCTTCTTGCCCGCTCCACACCCTTGACTTGCGGATTTAGAATGTAAATTTAACATATTTTCTGTTGACGTTCATAAGTGTACTTGGTTACCTATATGAATAAAGTTATTTTGAGATTTAATTTAGTTAAACAAAATGTAAGAAGCACAAAGATGTTAACCACAAGCAATAGCCTAAATTTCCGAAATCGAAAGGGGTTACGAAATTCTGCCAAGGGAAAAATTATCTATAAAGTATATATGCATAATGTGTTTGATCCATGTCTCATAACCATACAACTGCAGACCGAGTGAAGTTGAAGATCATATGAATATTTCATACTAAATTTTAAATGTTAAGTAGATTTACATCGTTGTGTATTGTCTTGATTAGTATCGTGTCATCAGTAAATATTACAAGTTCATGGCGGTCAACACAACATGATAACTGGTTATTTCTTCTTGAAGTTTTAAAGACTACCGACTCGATCCGACTTTATACGTTGTTTATTTATAATAAGATATAAATCAGTTGATTAATTTACGTAGTTGATATTAAAAAGGGCATGTTTTAGGCATGGTACAGAGAAATTGTCTAGTTATTGAGCATGTGACAGTGTCGTGGGTTCGGATATTGACTTTAACGCGATTAACATACTCGAACGGTGAAGAAAAATCTGACGAAAAAATGACATGTCTTATAAAATCTATGGCGAGCGTCAGGCACAAAGGCCTGTTCACCTACTGGTCTATATATAAAAACTATCAAGTAAGTAAATACAGAAATATGAGGCCCTGAGGTGGTGGTATAAGTTTTTCTATAATTGAATTACAAATTTATGTTAACATCCTCATGGATGTTGATGATTGGATCCTCATGGATTGATGATGTTGAGACCTGACGAAACGTCAAGATATAAGAAACGTCATATCTTGACGTTTGGTCGGATCTTATCGGTATCGTCATGGGTAGGTTAAATATAGTTTTATAATTTCATTTCCAATTATTAATAATTATGAGCGTTTTAATCTTGTAAATATATTTTTGGTACGGTTGTCATTTTTATCACAAAATATACAATTTAAAATCTAAAAGCTATTTCTAAGAAGTTTAATAAAAATATGAAACATTCCTTATTGAGGTAAAACCAATGTCATATAAAACATTTATATACGTATATGTTATCTGTCTATACTATAAAGCTTGACCGGATTAATAAGACAGGTCAGTACTAGTCGTTGCTCCAACGAAACAAGAATTTATAATGAAACTTCTTATTGCTATAAGTTTTTTGTCTGTGGTAGGGATATGTCTAGCTAATACAGTTCTTTATCCTCGAGGATGTATCTACGTGATGGGAAGATGTAAGTGATTTTTTTGCTTAACCATATTACTGTCTAATCTGTGCTCTTAACGACTTGCTAAAATTCATCTCAATTTTCATATACGAGTACGTGGTATATGTTTCCAATTTTGTGTAATCGCTTTGAGCGATGTTTATGTTGGTATTTGATTTTTAAACAAGTAACTGACTATATAACATCCAATAGCTTATGTTTTGTACACTTTGACGTCACTTGAGAAATAAAATTGACCAAGTTTTTACAAACTAATTCTGGCTTTATATTAAAGGCAGCTTAAAGAGCAGATATTCCCCTTGTTCTTTACGCCAAAACAAATAAGGTCATACTAGAAGTATTCTAAAGTTCTAGGACTTCACCATATAACTTATTATAATAACAATAAAATTTTAAATATATAGGCAGTATCCGTAGTAACCGTAGTTGCCATAGACTTAATATTTATCTTTAAGGAAAATCTTATATATATAATCTTAGGTACGTGGACAACCTGTGCAGGGATATAAGGTATTTTATCTATGTATCAAAAAAGGTATCTAAAGGTAAAATTTGATACCTGTTTATTTTTCAACCAGGCTTTGGATTAAATTAAATTAACGGAAAGCTACTAAAGACATTTAACATTTTAAATTGTTTAACAGCACGAAGTGTAACCTTTTTAATCTCATTCTTCATTTCTAAGTCGGTTATATTTTTATAGAAATTTGTCTGATAGTTCATGAACGAAATGTCTTCTGATGAGAGAACAAACAAAATAATATACAATAATATCTATTACATAATGCGGCGTATTTTGTATGCTTCATCTCGCCGGTAATTTTTAAGACGAGCTCCGGCGTCGCACTTAAATAAATATTCAAAAACAAGAAAAACAGGTTATCGTGTTGTTTTGACCGATTTGAACTAATTATATTTACTTGCGATAATTTTAAATTATCGACTTGAGTCTTAACAAAAATATGAATAGTTAATAAAAATATTTTTTTTTATTCCGATTGCTACAATACTAATTTGTTTAGATGTTTTTTAATTGCATTGGAACGCTTACTTATATTAATTTAAGAATGTCGCTTTAACTTGTACCTCTTCGTTCGTGTTATAAGCCATGACTCCTTAACGAACTGAGAGGGTATGATTTTTGAATATTCGCCGCATATTTTGTAAGTTTTTATTTATTTACGTATACATAAAACACAATCATGTCTAAATCAACAAGAATGCATGTCCAAAAAAAAATTAGTCTTGAAATAAAAACAAACAAACTATTCATGAAAAACAAGCTAAAGAATTACATAATGAAAAAGTTAAAGTATTAATAAAAAAAACGTGTGGCACTCGGGGACTGCCGCGGTAAAGCTATTGCATAGCATTTTTTATCAACTTATGCAATTATGATTATTATTATTTTCTTTGATATTATTTCAATCTACCACTCTATCAGACTCAGATTAACACGCCTATATAGTTTGTCTCACTCTAACGCGTACTGGCTGCACCGGCCGCGCTTACTAAAATCTATGCAAAAGCTTATTAAGCACTAATAAATAGTGACTGACAATAAACAATCCTTTAACCTATGTAATTCCTAATACGAAGTTCAAAATAGATTACAGATTTTTAATAATAACACGGACGATTTTTTAAAGTTAGAAGTATGAAATTACGTGTTAAAATTTTATGTTTTCCAGGTTACCGTGAGTGTGAAGTAGGAACGCGGGCCTACACAACTGGTTGTGGGAAACTGATGCCGGAGCCGACTTGCGATGTACCCGATCCTGAAGAAGGGCAAGGCAATGTCTGCGACTACTCCGCGTGCTACTGTGAATCGCCAACCGTACGGCACAAGCCTAGCGGCAAGTGTATGCTGTTAGAAGACTGCCCCAAGACTAAACCCGATGTCTAATCCCGTTTCTTGATAGTTTTTTAATGATTGACAATTTATAAGACTTCCACACGTTTAAATTAAATAAATGTTTAACCGTAAGCCAGTTGGGAATTGAAAAAATAATCTAAAAATAAAAGTCAATAAAACTTTGCTTTTATGACTCTTAACGAAAATAAATCTTTTCAGCAATACCTGCTTTTTAATTGACATATTTTGTATCTATGCTCCAACGTGAGTGACAAAGTATCTTAACTTTAAAAACATCTGTGTCAAATATTTGTATGAGGGAAAGTTATAGTGCTTGACCTCCGTTTTTTCAGGTGAAGCTTTTGCAATCCTGGAAGCGGTTTTGTATGCTGAGTCCCACAGCCTGAATAAAGTTAAATTTTTTTCCGATTCTCGCAGCTGCTTACAGGCAATTCTTTCCAATCCATTCAGGTCTAAAAAAAAACATAATACAATTCTAAAAATAAGAGAAGCTTTGTTTAGGTGTAGTAAAAAAGATATTCATATTGTACTTTTGTGGATACCTAGTCATTGTGGTATAGCGGGTAATGAAACTGCTGACTCTTGTGCAAAAGGTGCTATTTTCTGCGGATCTTGTCAGCATCTTAACATCTCGGCCCACGACCTATCAGCTCTTGCGTACTCCCACCTTTTAAAATCCCGTTCACCTAGCTAAAATTAAAATTAAAGACAGTTCTCTCTGTGAGTGTGGTATGGATGAGGGCTCGACAGACCATATATTTTTTAACTGTTCCTTAATTAATGACTCGTTATTTGACCATCTTTCTCCAGATTTCCCTCGTCCATGTAACCTAAACTCCACACTTTATCTCCCATCCAGCCCGATCGTCAAAATTTTAGGGAAATTTATTTCTGTTAATAAATTAAAGTTATAAATAAGATTCTCCCCTCCATACCTTGTAGTATAATGTTAACCTCTTGTATATATTATTAGATGTCTGTGTGTGTTGTCTTTATTGTGACGTCATTTTTGTTTTGGGTAACTCTGCTTAGATTAAATTCAATCTATCAAAATTATCAAATCTATCCTCACCGTGTCAATACTTAGAACGCGACATTGGCGGAATTGTGATTTACACAGAAGTCGCCATTATAAATAAAGTGAAGTGAAGTGAACTTATAGTGCTCTTGGTACGATTATTTATACAATTGATAAGTGCCAATACTAAGTTATATTAAATAAATATTGTTTCTGGCGTTAGACGCTAGGATAAAAACTTATAGATGAGTACTAATGCAGAAGGGGTTAAAATCTATAGTAAAGATGTATTTTCAATTTTGTGCAATTTCACTGATTAAAAACACATAATCACGTCTTTGCTAAATAAATATTGTAGGCGCATTATAAACTCCATGATCAAATCGAGTAGGATGTTTGTTAGTTATATATAAAAGTATGAAAAACATACAATCTATAGATCTTGGTCTGCGATTATATGTACCATATCTGTTTATATATATATATATATATATATATATATGCCATATCTGTTTTGTGATCATAACGTAAATATTTACCAAATTTATAATAGATAATAATATTTACCAATAAATATTTACCAAATTTATAATAGATAAATAAAAATATATATAAAATGACATTCAATTGACCATGAATCAGTCAATTCAATGTCAATTCAAATTCAAAGTCAATTGAATGTCATTTTATATATAGCTGATTCGGTGCAGGAAAGCTTGAATAATACTAATATTAGCAATTTTATTGTCACTAAAGTAAAAAAAAATAAACAAAGTTTATAAATTACATAGCTATATTAAACATTAACAACTAGTTATTTGTACACGAAATGCATAATGAACATTGTTTTAGAAGAAAACCATAACTTATTTTAATTTTGCGCTAGTCCTCATAAGATCCTTACATATCATGAAATGAGCAGCTGCATCTATCTGTCTGTGGACGCATCAAACAATACCAAATGGGCTCACCACCACTATGTGGAACCAGCCAACTGATGTATTTCCGAACCAATTCAACTTATCCTTCCTTATATACGGGTCTTTCAAGAAATGAGCGAACCAATTTTGTAAAGGCCGGCAACGCACTTGCGAGCCCTCCGGCAATCTGAGTGTCTAAGGGCAGCGTATGACTTAACATCATGTGAACCTCCTGCCCGTTTTATACAAAATAAATAAAACTATTATGATTATTGTTGAAGATATTGCCAAAATACACGAAATCGAAGGAGATCAAAACCCAGTCGTAGATAACTCAGCTTCCCTATTACATTAATCTCATAATGATCATATTCATCACAATCATCTTTGTCTATGATCGGTTCTCCGAAGCTAATAAAACTCAAAGTAATCTTTTACAATTGGATAAAACATTATACGCGGATGGATGAAAAATGATTGTAATTTGCTCACGAACGAGCCGCACTTGACCTGAAGGCTGAAACCCTTTTCCCGCAAATTAATACTAATGTGCGCTTTAAGGTAAAGCCGATAAGCTCAGTTTATCCAAATAAATGGGAACAACCTGCGAAAGTTCAAATTTCATAAAAATTATGTTCTTATCCAATTTTACTCTTCATTTTGGAAACCAGTAATATTTCTGGCGGAAAGAGTTAAAAAAAGTGATAAAATGTGCAACTCTTAACCTCGAGCTCGTGCTTTCTCTCCTTGCTCCTACTTTTGAACGAAACTTGTTGGACAGCGAAGGAAAACTTGACGAAATGTTTCAGGCAGAGAATCCTTGCAAAACAAAAACCATGCATGATGGAGATCCTGATGTCAAGTTTCCGTGATGAGGCTAGAAGTTACAACTCCAGCGAATTCTTTCCCGGCTTACGCACTTTACGCGCTTATTCATAAGAGCTGTTTCATTGCTGATATAACTAAAGTACTCTTTTGTCTCTTTCTGTCAAATTGTATTCATTATGTCAAAAGAGAGGGATCAATGCATGTGATGAAACAGTGGCATTGGAATGATTTAGTTTATATAAGTACTAAGTAGCACGGACATTTAAGGACGGTTCAAAGTTAATTCGTCTTTACGTCGGCATGTTACTTTCAAACAGGCGTTTCACTTTCGAAATTTGCTGTGACATAGAAGTACCAGCCAGTGAAACACAGCAAAGATATCTGGTAAATTTTTCTTCAGGGTGATCTCTTTAAAGCGGAGCAATTTTGAATTTGTCTTTTTGAATTCACCTAGAATTTGAGAAGTTATTCTAATACGTTAGTTATTTGAATAAGATGAAACAGTTGAATTATTTATTGACAGTTGTTAATGATAAAAAAAATTTTAGATGCATTCGATCTATTCTTCACCTTGCCGAGAAATAAAGATGTTTGAAATATCGTTATTCATATAAAATTTAAATAAATGTTAGTCTTCTATTCTAAAGTCATCAATGCGAGAGCAACCGACACCAATGCGATTTGATTACAAAGAAACTCATTTTCGTTGCGATGGTTATTTTATTGAAATACTTTATGATATCGACTTTTTGTTAGTAACTTAAAATAATATAGTATCTACCTTTTCAATAAAATATACAATTTGTCGCGAGTTTTATACATTTTTTAATCTGTAACGTTCGTACAAATATCTTAATTTGAGAACTGGTTTTATTCAGCTCGATAACTTTTAAATTATGCAAAAAAATTAACGCAATTTCATTGCTGGATATTTTTGTCCAAAAGATTGGATATACTTTAGCCTCTTATCGTTAGATTTTAAGTTAAAAAACTTTCACAATATTGTTGCTTTGTGTTTTACTTTAAGAAGGTTTGAAAAACCTCGTAAAGCTCCCAGAACTCAGTCCTGAATCAAATCTGACCCTTAAAAATGCTGATTCTCCGTATCTTTGTACCCAACGCATATTTCAAACAAGAATATCGGTACATGATAGCACTGTTCTGGTGTGAATACAAATGTCTTATAACGTTTGTAGGGAATAAAACCTTTTGCTAACAGTTAGCAATAACGTAGCTATATTATGCTTAATACAATAAATCGTACCTACTACAAGCCCAGACCTAAACTTATGATTAAACTCTTTATAATATAAATCTATCTATATATCAGTGTAAACAATAAATTTTCAAAATATCAGTTGTAATGTTCGATACGATTTCAAATAATATCGATACTTGATCCAATAATTGATAATGTTAATAAAACATATTCAATTATTTTACTAGAGAACGAGAAAACTTAGAACCCAATTATTCATAGTTTAATAGATTTTTTTGACAAACGTCACGATAACGATTGAAATTTAATAATAATAAAAATAAAAATGTGTTTATTCATTTGACAACAATGCATTTTAATGTTTAAGATTTGGGAAACCTTTTAAGTAAAAAATACCTGTCTCAGGTACGCTCTTTCATAACAAACTTAATAGTAAAATTCCATAAAATATATAATTTAATTACGTCTTTTTTAACTATTTTTGTTTTTTAAACTGTTTTCAACACGCCTGTGTGCAAGTAAGTGTGTGGGTGCATGTGAGTGAGTGAATGAGTGTGAATTTCAATCGAAATAGTTAAAAGTAATTCTTGGGTACTCTATGGGTAAGTCTTCATCTTGAAAAGATAAAGCTTGAAAAAAATCGCTTACTATTAGAGAGAAAACTAGCTCCAGGTAAATTGCGGTTAAGAATCAATCGGGACGTGCTCTGAATCCCAGTGAGGCTCCAGTGATGCTTCATAAACCCTTCTTTTACTATTAATGTGCCCTTACACCTGTTAGTAATGCTTATTCAACTATAACCGTTTTCCTTCTAAAGGTTGATCTAAAAATTGTCAGTCTATTTGTTTATTTATTCAAAAAGAAGCTTCAAAGAATAAATTCTAATAAGCTAATATCAATCGACAGCGATCGTGGTGACTGGTCGTACTTGAATTCGTGTATACGGTGATGTTAATTATTTCGACTATGTGTTTGCGTGTTGTTTCCACGAGAATGTAAGTGCGTGCTCCTATTTCACCATGCCTCCTGCTGATAGAGGACAAGT